ATAACCGATTTCGCTCAATAGATCCGCAAGCAATCGCCCCACTGAATCATTCGCTTCTCTCCACAATTCCTCTCTTCTCTCCAACAACTTCTCCTCAACTTCCGCATCCTGAACATTACTCACCCTTTTATGACTGCTTCCATATCGTGATCAATCTATCAGTATTATGCCTGCGATCTGATACTAAAATAATTCCGTGAAAGAACAGCAGGCAAATGTGACCAACTTGTACGTATAAATAAACATAATTAGTGATCGAGGTTCTCTCTGTACGATGCATCTCTCATCCCATTTCTCCGGTTTTATATTGCTTAATGTATTTTCCGTACAATTAGTTCGGTAATATATTAGCATTAGGCTTCTAATGATATGCGGGAATCCTTTTGAGTCAGCGTTGGAAACTGCCACCCTTTGCAGTCTGATTTTGTGATTTCGACGTTTCCTTTGATCGCTCTTCAAAGGAAACGTCCAAAATCATCCGTTCCTTGCGAAGAAATTCAGCGGAGGGGTAACGAAAGACGACAAAATTTTTTGCAGATGAAGACCGACTATTTCTCGCCTTTTGCGAAGGAGTAACGGCTGCCATGTTCTCCAACCCCAGTTTCAATATGGTGAGCATAGGCGATGACCGGTCTAATGAGAAGTTAACATGACGAGAAACAGTCCGGACAAAAATAGGTGAGATAAGACAAGATCAGGAGCGATCACGATGATCTCAGGCGATCACGGGGAACGATCAGACATTAGCATTTCTCATCCATGTTTACAACACATCAAATAACTAACAAATCCTTCGCAAGAAATTGATCCAATTTGATGAATTGAAGAACAAATTTCATTGCAATTCTTCGATCTGATTGCATCCTCCAATTGATCCGCCAGCAAAAACCACGAACGAATCGCTTTCAGTGGCTTCAAACGTTTCTCCAAAAAAGCAACACTCTCAATGGACGCCATCAATCGTTCATATTTGGTTGGCGATTGTTTCAATAGAGTCTGAAAAAGGATCGAATAGGTGACACCTCGAAATATATTCATTTATCGATCCGAAATATATTCAAAAAGATCAAATAACTAAGTTCCAAGAATCACCTCGCTACTAACACTTTTTAAGGCAAATCCTTATTCATTCGATACACTAACATATTACTTGAATTTCTATCAATTCATCTACACAAGCAGCAGTTATAACAATCCACTGGATTCATAAGCATAACGAAGTTCATGATTTAAAAAATGATATTGCCGTTGATGACAAAAATATGGGTTTAGGCTGCACTATTCGCTTGCATGGCGCAAAAAAATATATCTGCCGCATATTACTTCGATGTACATATTACCGACTTTTGGAATAGGCATTCCAAGTCCTCCTCCAAATGCGATAATCTTCGTTATTTCATTGTTAATTAAAAAGCAAATGCTCCTTGTTCAGGCACAGGTACGGTGATTCGGAAAATTTGAATGAAACTAAATTCGATGCTCCAAAATGAACGTTGACCTTTTGAAAGGAACGCATAAATGCACCATGCTTCGACGTATACTCTTCACAGGCTTCAACGAGTGCTGACCTCAACGCTGACAGTTCCATTCGACATTGTTTCAGATCCGACACCTTGGTCGGTATATCTTCACGCATAAACGTCACTTCATCCTCAAAATAATCAGCACAATGATAATGGTAAAACAAAAAATAATATTTCAAATAAAAAATTATTTGACCATGCACTCGAATATTACTCTAGTTGATAAGCAAAATATATTGTGATATTACTTTCTTAAACAATAGCAAATTCGGATCAGCATCGAGATTATTCGGATCAA